ATGACCATTCTTCCTCCAGTAGAGAAGCTGAAGATCCTACTGGAGAAAGTGAAAGACTTCCACATAAAGTTTCTTGAAAAGTATGCATGAAACTACTGTGGCTTTTCCCCCCTCATCCCCTCCCCTTCGAGGCAAATGCAGACAATGAACAATGATGTGCTGAGAATGTGCTGTTTATCTAATTTAACTAAATTCAAAGTAGATAGAACCAGACTCAGATACTGCTAAAACTTACTGGACTATTAAAGTTATGTCTGGTGTAGAAGACATTGTTACACCAAGTTTTTTTTAAGGGGAAGGGGAAGAATGTGAAGAAAACAGTGAGAAGAGTCAGTAAATGTTTTTGTGCCTTGATTGAAAGTTACATTTGTGAACTTTTGACTCAATAGGTTGGGGAATTGCTCCTTAAAATTACTACTGTCATGTGGGTTGTTTTACAGAACAGAAATGCCAAGTTCAATTGTTTAGATAGGAAATTGTTTCTCATCTTAAAATTCTACTAAACAAAAATCAAAACTCCTGCATTATAGTTATTGCTTGGTTTAATTTTTGTTGGTTTTGTTGTTAAATGTTCTCCTAACCTGATCAAGCATGCAGGGACAGTGTGCTTATTTTAAAACATCTTCAGCAGAGGTGTGCAGATGCCTTTGAAATTCTGCTGAAAAGAAATGCTGCCATCCCAGCACAGCTGGAATGGAACATACAGTTTTGATCAGAGGAGTGAACATGGTGTCTGCTTGAACAATATTTTTATGAAACTGAAACATAATAAGGAATACAATCTTCTTCTTCCTGTGCTATTCAACACATGATCCCAGCATAAGAGCACTGAACACTTCCTGCCATAGCAATTCCAGGAGTCTCCTGTTAGCCCACATCTTTTATACACATGGAACAGAGTAAGTTAGTGTCTCAAAGCAGATGTGAGTACAGTGTGTCCTTTCAAGCAGGGTAAAACACAGCCCTTTCAGAACCACTCTGTCTGTGGGGAGCATTTGTTTGGAACCATCCCACAGCCCCTGGAGCTGGCCAAAATCCAGCTGGAACTTGCACAGACTGACACGTTGTTACCAGGAGAAATGCTGGGCTGATTTCTAATGAAGAGGAAGGGATTTAAAGGAAAAAGTCTTACACCATGCATAAAGAAAATGAAAGTACAGCTGACACTTAAATCTTCCACAGTCCTACTGCTGTCTGAACAATCCTGAGTGCTTCTCAAAGCCCAACTGAACAAGGTGGCAATCTGGGAGTACAGCTGAGTGACTCCACTAATCTCTGCCAGCTTCCCTGCAAAACAAAGGACAGCCTCTGTTTCTCTAGAGCTGGAGGCTGGACACCTTCTGCTAGCTCTGATAAAGGGCTAAAGGAACAGAGCTTTCACTATTCAGATGTGAAAGCATTAGCATTTGTCAGGCTTAGGCTCAGCTGTTACAGAGCTTATTCATCAAGAATATCACATTCAATCCAGTCATTTATTTTAAGTTATTATTTAGAAGTAAACTCATTGTAATGTCTACTGGCACTTTGTGAGGCTGCTGTTGTCGCTGGTCCGACAGCCTGTGCTGATCCAGCTTACTAAAGCCAAGGGCTAGAGCAACACCATCCAGATAAAGCTGTGCCAATTTCTCACGTGAGGAGGATGGGATGCTGCCAGGAGCTGTCCTTGCCACAGCAGCCCCTGTCTGTGACCCAGCATTAGCAGGGCCTGAGCTTCCCACAGCTCCTTACTGAGGCCTGTGAGAAGAATTTATTCCTCTCAAGGGCTCACAGGTTATAGATGGAAATGGCATGGCTGCTACACAAAGCTGCTGTGGAGGATTGGAGAAAAAATGATGTTTTCCTTCTCAGAGCAGTGCACTTCTGGGAGGAGAGCACACTGAGAGCACTTGGGCTGCTACATCCATTGACAAACACAACCTGCCAGCACCCAGCACTTGGCATCTTAATATGCACTAATAAATAAAACAAACCCAGAGAGCAAAACCGTGGGAGGAGGTCACAATAATGATGTGAAAATAAGACAAACAGCACTTTCCTGCTCTAGGAATGTGTCCAAATCAGATCTGGCTTTGGACTCTTAATGCAGTGTAGATTGAAACTAAGATCTAACAATGGGAGTTAGAATATTTTTTATATTTTTGTAACTACAGCTTTTTCATGGGGTAGTATTTGTAATCTAATAAGTCAATAGATTTTATATTTGCCTTGCATTTGCACCTGTTACTTCTGGAAAAAAATGTAAAGGTTTACAAGTTTATAATGATAATTTACAGGTGTGAAAGGCTTTTTGTTTTAAGTCGGGACAGTAATTCTTACACTTTTGAATCAAAATATAATGGCATAAACTGAGTTTTTTCTAAACATTCTATTATGGTGCCTTTTCTGTTTCTGACATTATAAGGGATAACAATTTATTCTTGATGCATCTCATATGGAAGGGTGGTGATTTCTATTGTCCATCCACAATATTTGTATGTATTGTGATAAGGTTAATGTGCATTTTTGTGGAACAATCCTGTAAACCTAAGACAAAAAGGCTTGTTTGCCATGTCTTTGAAATATTTCATTAATAACAGACAATTCTTCCTTTCAAATGCATGCTTCTAGGTTTGATCTTCCTCCAGGTGCTCCTTCTAACAGTACTTCAGATGTATGAGACTTCCAAATAATAAAGCACATGTTAAAAAAATGGTAATACTTCTCCATTTTCTATGTCACTGGAGCAACACCAGCTGGATTGCACTATGACACATTTAATCCCATGTTCAAACCAATATTTACTAATATTTAATACCCATGTACCAGGTCATTAATTTCTGCATCACTCCAGTTTATGGACTTGACATTTGTCCAACTTATTACCACAAAACTATTCTCTACAAGAGCAGAACTGTAAACAGAGATGGTCTCAGGCAAGTTTATGCTCATAATTAATTCCGTAATGTAAGGAGTTGTAACCAGCAGTCAAGCAAGCCAGACTTCTTTCTTCACAGAGAGGATCAGCCAGGCAGCTGAGGCTGATCAACTGTGTCCTGAAAGCTTTGGTGAGGTGTTGTCAACTCCCTTTTAAAAAAACTTCTTACATGGCTTGTAGGAGATTAAATTTACAGAGCAGCACTGTAACTTTTCGAGGTGTCAGTTTTGCAGTGACACCTCAGAATTACTTTAGTGGTGTTTGTTTGGTAATTTCAAAGTAAACAAAATTTAGGGAAAGGGAAACTAGTCCTGCTTCTGTAAACATATATGCATATGCTAGAATTACCAAAATCAGGATATTCTTTTCTTTATGTCAGGATTTTGAGTGTTTTCTGGAATAGAAACACTTACCTGTTTGTCTGGAAGGGGTTTTTGGGAGGGCGTGGGAAGTGGAGTACATTGTTTGTTTTGCAAACAAGAAAATTGTCTGATACAAAATACTTATATTATGAATTGTCAGTCAGATTTTTTACAGCTCTTTTTGAGTGACACAGTCTGTCCCATCTGGCTCAGGAGATGTGCCAGATGCATATGATACAGAAAAAGCTACTCATGTCAGAGAGCTTGCAGCATCCATATACACAATGTCAAAACCACTAATGTTTTAAAGCATTATCTAAATGCCTTTTTGCACAGTTCCTTGCTCAAATTTGTACAAACCCCAAGATACAATAATACCTCTGGTATTATTTTTAAATTTAGATATATGCAAGATAAGTTACTTCATGGAATTGTATTTTTAACGATATGGATTTATATATTCCATACTTGGTGTAGCCACACCTTTCTAATGTTCCCTGTTACTATGTTTTTGTTAAATCCTGTCTTCACCTGGTCAGAATTTGCACAAGCTGGAACCATTTGCCCTGGGCAGAGCAGGTTATTCCCTTGCTTAGCTCTGAAGCCCTGCATGCTCTGCGCAGGGAGCAGCAGTAATTTCGTGTCATTTAGCTAAACCCAAAGCTCAGCTCTGAGACAGGGCCCTTCCTAGGGAGCACAGAGCCTTCCCAGCGCCTGGGGGAGCCGAGCAGCGCCTGGCCCAGCCCTGGGCACAGTCCCCGGGTTGGAAACGCTCACCAGCTCCATGCAGGTCCTGAGGGCCCGGGGCGGCTCCAAACAGGAACAAAACAGCGCAATTCATCTGTGTGTGTGTGAGAGAGAGCCTGGCCAGCTCCTGCAGGGCGGAAGGATCATTAAATCGTGGAATCACGGAATGTTGAGGGGTTGGAATGGACCTTAGAGGTCAGCTTGTTCCAACCTCCCTGCCTGGGCACGGACAGCTCCCACACGGCTGCTCAAGGCTTTATCCAGCCTGGCCTTGAGCACTGCCAGGGTTGTGGCACCACAACATCCCTGGGCTCCAGTGTCTACCACCCTCAGAGTACATAATTCCTCTCTATTATCTAACCTGTTTCCCCCCTTTCAATCTGTACCCATTCCCCTCGTCCTGTCACTTACAGCTGCCAAGGCCTGAGGCACCTCCGAGAGGGGCACTGCTGACCCGCCCCGCTCCCCTCACGGCGTTCCCTCCCTCCCCTCACGGAGTTCCCTCCCTTCTCACTGAGCCCGGGGACCGCGGGCTCCGCTCGTCCCCCGCCCGGCGTCCCCCACCCCGGCCGCCCCTGCCCGCCCCGGGGTGTGTCCGGCCGGTCCCGCTCAGGGCACGGCTGCGGGCACGGCTCGGCCCGGCTGTCGGCCATGGCCCTGGGGAAGGCCCCGTGCCGGCTGCGCAGCAGCGACTCGGGCGTGGAGCCGGACCGCGGGGCGCTGCCCCGGGACAGGGACCGCAGCGCGCTCTCCCAGAAGAAGAGGGACCAGCGCATCGCGCTCTTCCTCAGCGACTTCGACCAGCAGGGTATGGCCGGGGCTGCCCGGGCTGGGGAGGGAACGGCGGCTCCGGGCCGGGGTCGCCCCCTCGGGCAGGGCCGCCTGCCCCGCGCCTCGGGTTGGCGGCTGATGGAGGCTCCAGGCGCTCTCACTCCCCGCTCGGATTTCTCCGGATCAGTCGCTGTTTTAATTTTCTTTTATAGCGCGGCCTTGCAGTGCTTATACTTGAAAACATGTAACACGCGTGGCAATAAAAGCGTGTTTTGTTTTAAAGCCAAGGAGCACATCCAGGAGATGAAGAAGGAGCTCGATTCGCTCTTGCAGACAGCGGAGAAGGCGTTTGCCGTGGAGCTGCTGACGATGCCGGCTGCCGTGAGGAAGATGAGAAGGAAAGAGGTGCTCGGTGAGAGTGCTCGGGTGCGGGCAGCGGTGTGCCCGGGGCTGCGGGAGAACACCTGGAAACTTGCTGCCTTTCGTGGAAAGGTTTGCTTTGTCTGCCCTGTATTTAAAGCAGATGAGCAGCGCTCTTACCCAGCAGATGCTCGCTGAGCACTCCTGTTCAGGTAGACTGATCTGTGTAACGCAGGGTATAGAATTATTTGGTGACTAGTCCGGAGAGTACTGTTATGTGTGCACTTAGGTAATATTATTTAAAGTCTGAAGAGACAAGAAATAATTACAAACCTACTGTTTTCTGTATGTAAAACCAACTATTTTTGTTCATCTGAATCTGTTCATCCTTAGCCACTGAGATTATTTTCTCTTTGTCAATTTGAACTCTCCTGGGCCATTGTAATCTGGTCATATACCTGTGATGATAAGCAAACAAGTTTAATTTTAACTCCCATTGATGCAGAGGTTTAAGATGTGTACACTCAGCATCAGATGTACATTCTGGTGAGAACTGATGTTTCTGGAATCTGCCTTGCAGCTGGAAATTGTAGGGGCCACACAGATATCAAACCTTAACCTCTTGAAGAACTTGAGTTTACTGTAACTGAGTATGTGTTTTGGTGTCCTTCTGGAGAAAGTTCTGCCCAAGAGCATTAGCTGTCTGCAGTGCAGTGTGAGTGTGTGGTGGTTCTTTGAATGTGGGGGATACCCTGTGTGCCTACACTCAGGATTCTTTCAAGGATAAACACTGACATGGCCTCAGATTTTCATTGTTGCTTTGTAGGAGTGATTTCCTACAAGACTGGAATCTTGTTCAAATGTAACACATATGCTGACCTAGGGTTACCTATTTAACCACTGTAATCCTGAATTACTTGTTTGGCTTCTGAGCCCATAAGAATATGAAGATAAAAATTATGCAAGTAATAGCATCTAAATAAGTTGTAATTTCTTGAGTTACAGATTTGCAAGGACGGGAGGAAATGGCTCTTGCTGCTGCAGTGGTGAGTGTGTGTTTTCAAATCTTATCACAGTTTACAGAATAAAATTCTTCTCTCCCTGCTGTAAGTACTTCAGACAAATTATTTCATTTGGCTGTGTGTTTAAATAGAAGATGATATGAAATGACTTGGCAGCCAGCCATGGTGCAGTTATGAACATTACCTAAAGTTTTAGGATCTTCTGCTGGCAGAAATTCAGATGTTTCAAAAAAAAGCCAGAAAAACAACTGGTGTTTAGCTAATCCCACTTCCTGTCAGTTGCTTTCATGCCCTTTTAGTTCACTGCCTCTTGTAACGTAATATGCATCTACTGGGAAAAATACTGACAACCTTCCCTTGTTGGATAAATATTTTTTTCAGACTGACTGCTCTGTAGAAGACATGCCAAATACCAAACTGGTGAGGACCAACAGCAAAAAAGGCAGGTCAACTCATTAATACATAGCCCGTAGTTCCTGCATTTTCTGTTTTGTTTTTTTTTACTGGTTTGAACTGAGCATTTGTAAAATGAATGTTAAGCCTGAAGAATACAAGAGGGAAAAGTGCATAACAGACCCCAAGCATTCAGTGTGGAGGACCATGAGCTATGCTGCTGTAGAGGTACTTTAAAGCATGAGACAAGAGCTTCTCTCCTTTGCAATTTATCAGGGGAAATGGTGAGAAGAGACAGATTTAAGCCTTTACAGTATATCAGGAGAGCTAGGAAAGCCACCTCTCTTTTCTTAGGTTTCCCTTAACATTCTGCCCATTGAGCTTTGTAGGAAATACAATTTTTTTTTCATATCCCCAAATATGCATTATGGAGGATACTATCACTGGGTGTCATTCTGTTTTCTCTGTAGGCTGAGGGATTATCTGGGGTCTTGTAACTGAGGGATTATCTGTGTGTCCCAGTGCTGCTGAACATACACAACTTGCTCTGACCTGTGTCCCAAGTGAATGACATTGGATGGCACAAGGGCTAAAGCTGTCCATGGAGGGGAAATAGGCTTCAAACATGAGGCTGAAGTGGTGTTTTGTGCTCCTCATGAGATCTTTATTTTCCTTGTCTTGCTAATACATTTATAGTTAAGGTAACTACAATTGTTGAATATGAAGATACCAAGCACAGTTCTGCAAAGAAAATAACTAAAAAAGTAAGTTTATTCTGTTTTTATTCAAAAAACATAAGGACTTAGTCAGTTTTGACCTACCACAAGCCCTTGCCCTGCTAGATCCATGAGAAGGCAGGCCAGTGCTCTGCCATCTGTTGGAAAAGTCAGTTATTTTAAATGTAATGTATTTGAAGTTAAGTAAGGCTAACTGTAAATTATTTTCATCATGAAATATGGCATCTGCACTTCTAGTGACTAATGACACAGGCTGGCAAGTACTGGCATGGTCATTCTCTCTTGATTTACTGGCAAGTCTCGATGGTTTGAGGAACCATATTTTGTTGAAACTTTATTTTTAAATCAACCTCGTGTTTAATCCATGTTTTTCTATAACTGAGTAGTTATAGCATTCTTGTCTCTAAACCAAATCAAGTGTTTTAGTTTTGCCACCTCAGTCTGTCTGGGCAGTGCAGCTCCTCAGCCAGACACTAATGTAGCAAGCTGATAACAAATACAAAAAAGATTCTGTGCAATTACAGACTTCTACTGGAAAAAGGCTTAGTTGGAAGGGTGTATATTAGGTGGTTGGTTATACAGAACTTCAGTAGGAATAAATATGTTTTGGCATTATGAAACTTCTTTTAAAATGTATATTTGGCATTTTATATATATATATATATATATCAAAGGCACCACTATGGGACTTAGCTACCCTTTTTCAACAGGGAATTTTTGCAGTATTGTTCCCTGCAAATACCTATCATTTTGCTTTCAAATGCTACCTTTTTTAACTGCAGTCTTCTATATAAATTTTTAGATCTCCAAAACCAGGTCGCTGGTTTCACTGGCCTCAGGTTTAAGTGGCAAACTGAACTCTTTTTCTAGGTAAGACTGATCTTTGATAGCTTATTTAACTCACCTGAATTTTTGAGTGCTGAACACAATTATTTTCAAATATAGTTGCTGAGATTTGAGCCCAAAGGGAATACATCTGACAAGGATTCTCCCATAACCTGAGATGCACTGTGGTGATGTGAACCTGAGCAAAAAAGCACCTGTAGCTGATGAAGGCATAATGGTGCACAGTTCTGAACTGAGGGGAGCAGTACAGATTCCCAAACAATACTAATGGAAGAGAGCATGTAAGGAAAGTATCTTTGCTCTGCTAGTACTACTCAATTGTTCTGTAATAAACACCTAACTTGGGTATTGCAGCCCTCCTTTGCTCAGGAACATGAATTATTATTGTGTTCTTGTATGGTTTTAATCCCATATGTCATGTTTACCTCAGGAGGGCTTTTTCACATGTGTTTTTCACACTAGATCCCTGTCATGGGGCACTTCAGCATTCTCTGATCCACTGTCCATCTACCTTCATCCTAGCTAAAACTTTACAGTAGAAGTAGATGAGGAGGAAATAAATAAAAATAGTAAACCAACAAAATAAAACCCCCAACAAAATACAAGGCAAATAGCTACTTCTTTAGTGTCTGTTTAGTGTCTTCTGCTAGTGCTGCTTGCAGAAGGATGCTAAGTCTCTTTGTTTTCATTGCAGTGCCACAAATCTCAAAGCCACTCCAAAGGGAGCTAGAAGGTAAGGAGATTTCAGTTTGCTCCTAATCAATAATTTTGTTCGATACCAAGACACTATGTATTATTATCAATGTAGATAGAACAGATCTTCGTGTTCTGCCACTAAATGTGACAGTAGGGGTGCCAAACCAGTTACACCTCCTGCCTTGGGTGTGGGTGTTAGCTTTAATTATTGTGGAGGCACAGGATTTGATGTCCTAACAAAGTCAGTTTTAAAAAAAAAAAATATTTAGAGTATAAATGGTATTCTCACTATTTACAGACCTGCATCTCAAACTGGTTCTCAGAGCCCAACCTTGATTAAAATGTCATCATTACTGCTTTGTTAAAAATAAACCAATCCCTACAAACCCCTCAACCAAATACACTGATAATCATTTCTTGGCATTGTGAACAGTCAAGATTTTTAGTTAGTATTACTCTGCACACACTACAGTTTGCTTTTGGCACAAGCTGAAGTGAGGGGGGTGAACAACTTAAATGGGTCCTGAAAGCAGAAAGTGGTTCAGTTTCACCTTGGCCTGCTATAAATGTCAGAGGCTTGTTTCCATGCAGAACACACCCAAATCTTACATTTTTAAAGTAAAATAATAAGTGTTGTATAATAGAAACTTAGGAATTCTGCATGGCATAAGGCACACCCTGTGCCTCTGAGAGGTAGCAGCTTTGGTATTTATTGGTATCTCCCTCTGTAGTAGACAGATACAGCACATGTCTTATCTTAAGCCCAGAGGCACGAAGTTTCCTCTTTCCAAAACTGTAAACATTCACTGCTGATATTGGAGAGTGGATATTCTTGTTACTGAGTGGCCAAAATGTCATCTTGTGTCACAGGCTTACAAGGTTACTGCAGTGGCAGGGTCATAAAACCTTACCCAGCAGTGCCCATAAGTGCTGCTCATGGTTGGGTTTCTGTAGTCTCCTGGCAGAACTGGAAACATTTAAACATGACTGCCTCTCTCCTAGGTGTATTTCCTACTACTGGCATTTGATTCATGCTTGAAAATTTCCAGCAGAGCATAGAAAGTTAACCTCAGAGTAACATTTTCATTGTATTCTAGTGCTGGATTACAACAGACTGTCTCAAGAACTTTACCTGCCAGTGGAAGAGCTCAAGGCATGCTAAAGAGAAGTAAATCAGTACCCCAACATAAAAGTGTTCCATTTGTCAACATTCCCCTGGCTGATGGACAGGTATCTTTTTTTTTAAAAAAAACCATTTTCAACTGACAGTTGTTGATCAATACATATAGTGTGATAGTGACAGCTCTTGCTATTCCTAAATGAGATGCTGCTAAACGAAAGGAAAATGGTTGCCAAAGTTCTGCAATGTACAGGGGAGCCCATGAGTTTCAGAGAAGCTTGGCATGCAAGAAAAATTTTAATCTTAGAATTGTTTCTCTTCACAGACTCTGTGCACGGCTGGTGGAGACCTCCGCAATATTGATGTGCAGCTCCTAAACCAGGACACAGTGCAGCACATCCATAACCTGGTGGTAAGCCAGAACTAGGAGACTTAGAGATCTGTGCATTCACACACCTGGTCCCAGGCTTTCATCTCACATTCTGGCATGAATGCAAATTTCAACTCTTTGGAGTTTAAGCCTCAACTGGCTGGCATCAGTTGGAGGGAGGAGGGAGGGAAGAACTGCTGCACATGGATCATGTGTAAAAGGAACTGCACTTACAAAAGCATGTGCAGTTTGGTGACAGTGGAGGGATCACAGGAGCATAAACTCTTCCTTCTGCACTGCTCTGGTGGCTGTCCTGCCACGTGAGCAAACTGCTATTCCCTTATCTCTCATTCACAAAGGCTGACAAAGCTGCAGCTCAGTTTTGAGTCTTCTTATAATCCATTATTCTGTGGCCCTTGCTGAGTAAGAACTACCTACCTGGTAAGTCCCTGCTGCAGTTGAACAGGAACAGCCTTAATGGGTGTGAAGCAAAATAAAGTGGACCAGAACTTTGTAGCACCTACTGCCCAGCCCTCCTGAAGATGAGAGTACCTGGGCTATTGTTTGAAGTAATGGGAATTATCCAGATGTGAGAGATGCTCACTAGTTTACAGTTGTGCAGGTATAGAGTCAAGGTAAAGCTCTGGGAGCTATTCTGTGGTTTTTATTATGGCCCTGCCTCCATAGGCACAGTGGGGAGTGAGTGCTCTCTGCTTGCTTTAACAGTAGGGACCTTTCTTCCAAGTTCTTTTGGGCCGCTTGAGCTAAAATGAATTTTCCCCCCTCAGAGTGAGCTGACTGTCCTGTGTGGAAAGGTAACACCTAAACCAAGTTAATGGAACTGTCTGGTGACTACAGAACATTAGTGACTGCTCTTGCCTGCTGCCTCCCTAGTATTGAAATCATGTCTCAATAAAGCTGTATACTGCCCATTAAATGTTTATATAAGCTTTTATATCATGTGATGTGTCTTATTAAGTTCCTGTTATGAAGGATAGCAAAGCAGAAGAAAATTATACTTTTTCTTTATAAAAGGCTTAGGTTAGGTTTTAACTAAGTTCACAGCAAAATGAACAGTAAGAGGCTGTATATAGGAAATAAGTTTCTCTAATATCAACTCACAAATAAACTGAAATACAAGGTACTAAATTTTTGAACAGTCTTAAGACACTTTAATAACTTTAGGTATGTGGTAGCATGTATGAATTTAACACAGGAATAAAATTTATTTCCAGTTTTGAGTGTGACATGACAGTAATGTGCAAGATGACAGGTAAAATTAGAATTTATCAGGTGCTGCTGGCAGGAGCCCAAATTAATGCCAGCTGGGGACTGAAGCAGAACTGCCCTACAGTGATCAGCTCTTCCTCCACCCCTTCACTTCAACTATCATGAATCCCTTCCTCTCTTCCCTTTCAAAAAAGCCACAGAACCTGAATGGGAATTAAAGGTTTAGAGTTACTCTATTTTGCAAGGACTTACAAGCAGAAGACAGGTGTTGTAATTGTTTAAGCATTGCAGGTTACAGGGACTGACTCCTTGGTGAGAGCAGTCAGGAGAAAGGATCAGCATGTAACCATGGCTTCACAAAAAGCAACCCCAAGTTTTAATAAATGAAAATAAAAGACCCACTAGAGAATGCCACATCATAAGTCAGTACTGAAATACAGATCAAACAGTATTTATTTTTGCTTCATTTTTAGAGTCTATAACAAGGATGTTCAGCAACACTCAAATGCCAATGCCTACCCAAGCACATTGAAACCCTTGGAGTTTGTCCCTCCAACCTCATCAATAAAGTGTCAACAACTATCAGAAAAATAACTAAACAAGTCACACTTCAGATTTGTAAAGAAAAGTAGAGCTTCAACTTTCTCACTTAAACAGGAGAGAAACCTTGCTATAGAGGCAGCTTACCAACCCAACACTGTTCATGCACAACAGTTCCTTAGTTAAAGTCACATTTTTGCTTTGTTCTGGCTTTTTTGCCAATTAATAGTAATAGAACTGCAGCTGGAGATTTTAATATCTTCATACTTAAACCAAAGTGCAAACTACTAGAAAAGTAACAAAACCATCTACATTTATTATGTTTCCAGGTTAAACAGTTCTTTTTTTAACCTGGAAACATTTCTCTAGGAAGTGAGGCTGAATCAGACTTTGAATAGGATTCAAAGGCTAAGAGAAAGACACCATTATTTCAAAATTTAATCATTCCCAATTTAAGGGGTTTGTTATCTTTAGACTGAATTCAGATATCCTTGTGTTTTCTTCACACAAAGGGGACATGGCTGCAGCATTCCCTGTGCCCATTTTAGTCATCTCTCATTTCAGGAAGAGACTTGAATGTGGCACACAATTGTTATCCAACCTTCACCTAGTCTTAAGGCAGCTTCAGCCTCCCTGTGTTTATAAAATGTCTATCATCTACATAGTCTCTTCATACACAGACTAGTTAAAGCCACTGGAAAAGTAAGAGTTACAAGGCAAAAGAAATATATTATACACCAACTGCTTTTATTTAATTTCAGAAACCGTTCACAAGATGGTAGAAAAAAAACTTACAACCACTTCTAATTTAGTCTTTCATTGTTCCCAGTCAGCTCTAAACCCATTATGTGCAAAGCCCATTTACCATGCATCTAGATGATAGATACAGGCTATGAAATTCTTGATTCTACTTGTAGCAGCTTATGCAGGTGCAGCCAAATACCAAGCCTCAGGACAAATTGTACACAAACTTTACAATGTAGAATTTGAATTTAAAATATGAAACTTAAAATCTACACAAAACTGGTAAAAATCAAGCACAGATACGAGGACAAACTTAAAACCCATGTGAAAAGGAGTCTCGTCTTCCTTTCAAGTGCTTTATTCTGCTACACAGTCAAAATGAAGATGTAAGCTTGTGGTTAGTTTAAATTACACTCTGTAGATACTATAGACCAATTTAAAAGTTACACATACAGCAATAGATGTCCATTGGTTCATCTGGATTACTTATACAATCCAGCTGGATTGTTGAAAACAAGTCAGGCAAAATTTGAAAGAAAATCCTTGTGCAACTTTTTAGACAAATGTTTACTGGTGGGCACACTGTACCCCAGGTCCATGATGGCTGCTTTCTTCATCAGAACTATCATTATAAGCTTCACGTCTCTGGCCACCACCTGAACCACGAGTGGTATCAAATTCTTGAAGATCTACCTCTTCTGCATCACCAATTACATTGGGAAATTCTGGTCTAGCTGGCAGAAGATCTTCAAGTTCCTGCCCCAAAGAAAGAAATGCATTCAGTATTTCATCCAGAAGACCTAAATAAAGTGCCTGGTTTCCCGTATCTTTGAGACACCTCTAAGAGCAGGTTTGGCTTACAAGTTGTGCTGATGAAAGCCCTGAACTGCAGAGTCATTTAAAAGCATTTGTATCAACTGGAAGACACCACTTCAAGAAAACCAACAGCTCCACATATCATCTACCAGAAGTGCAATCAGTAAATACAGTTGCACTCCATAAACTTATCATACAGCAACAGAAAGATTCTCCTCCTGCCCTCATCTGTGTACCATCTGCACAGCTCCTAAATACAGCTTCCACAAATTCATATTTCAAGGGCTATTTCCAAGTAACACGTGGCCCATAAGACAGGTTAAAAGAACTTTACTCACATCTGAATTTAAGCACTGAGAGCAAGTCCATGAGGTACAACACAGGCTTTTTGCACACTCTGTCAAGTAAAACACCACATTTTTGCTTGAACAGCTACTTACTGAAAGCTTTTCTGGGCTAATCCAGTTATTTTCAGGAAACTGAACATCAAATTTAATGTAGAGATCCCCTTTCTCAAAAGGATTGCGATACTGTGGCATTCCTTCCCCTCTGACTACACGAACACAACCTGCAATTCAAAGAGAAGTAAAGTAATAAAGTGCTGCTGCAGAGCCACCTCTCTCCCTCCAGTTCTCTGTTTCCCCAGCCTGGGCTCAGTTAACAGGACAACAAGGCTGGGATTAAGTGCTGAAGAGTCACAAAAGCATAATCAAAGAAATCTTTATCAGCTCAAGCCTACCTGGTTCAATTACTTTTCCAGGAGGATATTTAACCACAATCTGACGTCCATCAAGGTGCTTAAATGTGAACTGAAATCCACACAGTGCTTCAACAAGTCCAATCTTGTGTGTCATATGCAAGTCATTCACATCCCGCTGGAACACCTGGGAAACAAAGGAGATCTCTTTACTAGTACTGCAATCACAACTCCACCAGACTCATTATTGAGAGTTCATTATTATTTATCCTTAAAACTCAATATCAGAGCAACAGCCTTTCTATGCAGTGAACCTGATTCCATTAATTCAGATGGCTTAACATGCTTGGGAAGTTTGTGCCTGACCAAGTGTCATCTAAAATAAGCCAAACCACACACCCACCAAGGTAAGCTTCAAATTAAACCAGGCCTGTACAGCAGCCCCAACTTTCACCCCCAACATCTTCCACACAAGCAAACTATAAACAAAACTGACAACAGTTTGACACTATTGCACCTGCACTGGAGTATATAAACCACATCTTTGTTTTTCAGCTCTTGTCCTCAAGCATTTCTCTTTAGCTTCCTTGACCTACAGCAGGACTTTGATCACTTAGTCCATAGCTGCGAGAAGAGATCTTTAGGCCACAACTCAGGATTCTTAATCAGAGTAAATCTTAAAATTTGTCCACTGGCAGACAAATGGACAGTGGACATTTGTCCACTGAGTCCCATCTGAAGAGAAATTTTAAGAACAAAGTCTATTTAGTTTTACTCACTAGGACAAAGTACAGACTGGCAGATTAGCAGTCCTTGACACAGCTTTGAAAATCTTACAAAGTACCTAATGAGCAGATAACTAATATTATATCCTTAATATTTGACTGTAGTTTGAATTTGTACTCCATGCTACTCTGTCACAACACAAAACTCCTCAAGTGCAACACACAAACTGTTTCTTACTTCATCATAGCTATTAGAATTAAAAAAGGAGCAGTCACCTCAACTCTACCCCACATGAGTTTTAACAGAAGATAAATTGCAACATTTAATTCCTAAGTGCAGTGATTCCAGCATACAGTGAACGGAAGTCTTACCAAACCAGTATAAAATAATAATGTTTGTTTTGTTAAGTTAATCAGCAACATCACCATTTTGTGTGACTTCCAGAACCAGAGTAGCAGACACAGAAAGCACCATTTGGGGGTTTTATCAGGAGTTCCCTGCCACGTCACAAGACATGGAAAAAAGGCACACTTAGAATTTTGTTAGTGCCACGAGCAAAGCAGACTGTGAAAGTGAACATCCTGAATGGCTCTCCACTTCATCCACTGTATCAAAGTCAGTCAGAGCTTATCTGAGCAGCTGCCTCTTGCTAGCATTAGGAGGCACCAGAAGCTGCCAGTCCCCTGGCTAAGGACTTGCCCAGTTTTTTCTGGCTCACCATGAAAGCTGTGTTACACACTATAAATCTATTAAAAGCTATTCCCCATCTCTCCCAGAGCTGCAACTGTATCAATTACTTTAAATGAATGGCCATCTATAGAATTTAAATATTAACAAGTGGAATAAAAGGCATTTAAAAGATCAACTCAAAAGCATTACCTCATTCTCCTTCTCTTGCAGTAAAAGGACAATATCGCCTGGTTCCACTCCGGGAGCCTGATCTGCTTCTCCACTGAATGTAATTCTTTGCCCATGTTTCATGCCTTTATCTACATGGACTTCAAGTATTTTTACCTCTTTGATCACCTTCTTCCCTTCACATTTTTTACAGCGGTCTTTTTCATTAATTACTTCACCTAAATAAAGACAAATTTTGAGTTCAGAGATCTTGACATAATTGCATCCAATTCCTAGGAAAAACTAT